TTAGGACAGCTCGCCCATGGAACAGGAATGGTTGATGAGAGTGAGACTTAGTACAATCTATGGTCGATGTCTGTCTGAACTACGACCCTATAGACCGCCCATGGAACCAGGAACAGTTGATGAGAGTGAGACTTAGTACAGTCTATGGCCAGTGCTGGTAGGGCTCTTGTGTCGGTGGGGCTCTCTACAGGATTGGTTGCGTTGCCTGCCTCCTATGTTCGGTTCAATATCATCAAACAAGTAGTAATGACAATAGTGTGCACAGCGAACAACCTAACAACAAACAACAGTAACAACAGCTGTGTACACAGCGATAGGAACACAAAATATGTCGACCTATGGGACTTGGTAGTGAAGAGATCTGTACCTAGCACCTGAAGTACCCGGGCAACAAGGCTCACTCAAATATGCTTCGATCGGGGCTGAGTGGGGTGTGTGGGGGCTGAGTGGGGTGTGTAGGACTCAGCTTAGCCCCTGGTACCTACAAGGCTACATCAGTCAGGTCCCCCCAGGCTGGAGGGTGACGATCCTGAGTGGCAGACACTCAGGTAGGATAGTGGGAGTAGGAGTGCACCCGGAGAAATTACAAAAGAGGTAGGTTGGGAGGGAGTCCCATGGAATTAGGGGGCCTCTACCACATGGCAGAGTGCCGAAGGTCACTCTCATATGTCTATAATCAAGCCTCTACAAGAACCTGGGCTTTTATATAATGAAAAAAAAAGAAAAAGAAAAAAGAAAAAAGAAAAAAGAAAAAAGAAAAAAGAAAAAAGAAAAAAAAGAACAATTACCCTCCCATCCTGTACATAATTGTTCCTGCTGCTCTTATGGAGCTACTTCCCACGAATAGATTGGAGCCTTTTGTTCAAGGAAAAAAAAACAAAAAAAAACAAAAAAAAACAGAGCTATAAGTCCTTAGCTCCTTTTCATCATTCCCCACTCTGCCATGACTAGTGCAAACACAACTGTTACACCCCCTAGGTAAAAGCAGTTCTCAACTGCATGACCCCTGTGTGATTGCAGCCTACCGTCTTCCCCCCCCCAACACAATGCACCCTCATCACGAGTGTATCACACTTGAAATATAGCTTGCATACATTCATAACGAGGGTGCCTTATGTTCGGGGGAAGATGGTAGGGTTCAGGTGGAGGTGGTCTCTGTCCTTGGCCATGTCAGACAGGAAAAGGTAGGGGGGGAAATGAGTAGGAGGGGTGAGGTATAAGTTATAACAGGATGGAAGGATCTCAACAAGAGCCTCCTGAGGGGAACACAGAAGTGGTGAGGGGTTGAAAGGACCAGTCCTTCGCCCTTCTGAGGGCGTACTCACTCTAGCACATCCCTAAATGTATCTGACTGCAATTACTGACAGACCTGGATGAATATGACCGTCCAGAGCTTAGAAGACAAAATCAGTCCAAATACACCCTGAGTGCAGTTCCTTTTTTTTTTTTTTTTTTTCCCTTTTCCGAGTGCAGTTTTTTCACCTTCTTGGACTCCCTTTTTTGTTTTTTTTCAAAGTTTTGAAGTCCAGGGTGTTGTAGAGGCCAGTTACTAGGCTCACATTGATCGCCGGAAGCTGTCAGCCATGATTGCCCTGAAGAGACGGGGCTACCTCCCATCCCATCCTCACGTCAATACTCCTAGCGCACCCCCTATTCCTACTATCCTACGTCAGTGTGACCAGCACTCAGGACCATTACCCTACCATCGAGGGGAACTTGGACCGAACAGTAGTGAGTGCTGGTAAGAGCAGGCACCACTAGCATTCCCCCGGGGAGGCTCCATCTATTGGTGGGGAGCAGCACCTGCTGGAAAGCGGGTCCAGCGTCCCTCAACATTGTAGCTGTTTGTTTGATCAGACATATGATTGTGACGACAGTCAGCAGCAGGGCTCACCTACAAAGTACAGAAATAGGGAAGTAGAGCTTACAGAATTGCCTGATTTGCTTGCCTACCTGACAGCCTACATTAAACCACCAGTACTTCGCTCAGCTATTGATGCCGAGCCTGAAATCGACCTGCGCGCCGTTTTTTTCCGAGCCTGTAGTGGAGGGAAATCAATTTGGAACATTTGTGGGCTGGCACTGGTACCGCCCCTTAAAATGGACCTGCTGCCAGCAGGAGGAACGAAACAGGCTGTAGTTCACTAGTTTTCACTTGTGCAGGCGTGAGACTGCCCGATGTTGCATTGGTGACAGGACTTCAATGCCCCCCGTTTCTCACAGGGAGTCAATCAGATACTGCCAAGATTCTTTTTTTTTTTCTATTGCAACAACGGAAATGGAAAAAAATGGCATTCTAGGGATGGCCTTCAGTTTCATGACAATGATTCAGGGAGGATACATTCCAGTGCCGTTGCAAGGCACAGTAGCCGTTGGCAGGGCACGAACGTTGTTCTGGAAGCGGCAGGGGTCGGATGGCCGTTGGTGGTCATTCGAATTCGAAATGTGCAGATCAGCAGCGCTGTCCCTGCCAACGGCCAGTCCATAGCATTCTCCGAATGAGAGGGCAGGACACAACGCTCCCGAGGCGGTGGCCAATCGATGTAAATGGCCGCGCGTGTCTCCAGACGCGTTGTCGTTTTTTTTTTTTTTTTTAACAAGAAACAACCCGAGTGAGTGCTAGGGGTGCTGATAAGAGCAGACACTACTAGCATTCTCGAGGAGGCTCCATCTATTGGTGGGTAGCAGCACCTGCTGGAAAGCGGGTCCAGCGTCCCTCAACATTTTGGGAAGGGGCAGTTTGTAAACAGCGGTTATGTAACCGTGCCACGTGTCCATCCTACTATAAACCTGAGTGATCACCTGAATCGCCACGCAGGCATTATCTTCATCACGCCTCACGTGTGCACATGGCAGACCTCCTCAGGAAGACTGCTCTGCTGGCAATCCTCCTTGTCGCTTTGCTGATCGTCATTCTAGTGTAACTGTGCCAGTTGTTCAGGCACAGCTGGGCCCGTCCGCGGAAGAAGCCAACGAAGAAGGACGGAGGAGGAGGCAGGTCGAGGAAGGGGATGGGCGAAGATAATCTCCCTGGCGGCCACATGTACGGGATGGCGGGAGGGGCTGCCAACGGGGTTCCCGACGGAATGCGTCACCGATTCGACCCTCCGTTGTACGCCCATCTGCCTCCTTACATGCAACCCTTGCCAGATGACGAGGAATGGGTGCCGCCCCCTTCAACCCTCCCTCTCGCATGGGGGTCGACACAGACCTCGTATGAGTCTGGGGGCAGATCGGGTGATCGTTGCAGTGGTATGGGTCCAATGTCCGCCCTTATGACGGGAGCGTCGGGGGCAGCGGGGGATCCTTTGCAACTGCGCTTGTCGCCGACGTGCACGATGGAGCAATCAAGAACTGTTCTCGTGGAGCATAGCAGTCGGTCATAGGGCGGGGTGTCCGTGACAATGCAGGACGCTCGAGAAGACAGACCTCAGACACAGCGGCCACCGAGGTCATCGTCTGCATGCACGAGCAGCCATAGCAGACCGCCTGCGTTGCCGACCCCGTTCCGCATTGGGGTTCCCCATACTGTCCCTCCAGGAAAAGTGACGACAACGACTGCGGCAGAGTCCCCCCAAGTGATAGAGAGGATCATAGCGCAGTACTCCAGGATGCGCACGGATGTTGAACACGACGACGGAGGTGACGACAACACTCGCGGTGAGGATGTGGCGGACGAGGACTGCATGGACGACGACGATGAGAGCGACGAGGACGACGACGCTGCGGCGAAGGAAGTGTCATCAACGGCCGGCGAGACGAAGCCAAGCAAGAGACGTGGGAGGTCGAAGGCGAGGGAGGAAGGGGGGGGTGCGGATGCCGAGGGTGGGGGAGGGAGCACACGACAGAAGTGGCATTTGGACGAATTGCTCGTCCTTGTCTGGTGCAAAAGGGACCTCGATGATCACATGGCGAGCCAAGGCAGCAAATTCGCACGTATGAAGACGAAGACCTGGAAATGGAATGAGATCGCGAAGCGGATGGCCCAACAGGGGGTTACAAATAGAGATGGGGATTTGTGCATGAAGAGATGGGAGAACATTTTTGGGTGGTATAGAAAAATTTGGGATAGTGAGAAAGACACCGACGTGCAATCTTTGTTCCTACTCACCTCAAAGAAGCGCAAAGAACAGGGGTACAAGTTCGCGATGGATCGACAAATATACGATGCCATCCACGCGACAACCCCCAACAATCAGGCCATCCACCCGCCTAATCTGCATGACACCGGTGGACTGCCTCCACAACAACCCAACGACGTCGACCAAAGCCAAGGAAGAGGGCCGACTGTCGTCGGTGAAACGTCTGCAAGTGACAACATGGATAGCGGAGCGGGGGATGGGTATGGCAGCAGGTCTTCAAGGGGGGGGCTTGTGGGGAAGCGGAAGAATGCACGACAACTGGCCTTTGATGCTGTCACAGACGTCATGTGGCAGATTATGTGGATCGCGCCAGCAAGCGTCAATGCGATGTGCTGCAACAACAATGCGATATCATGGAGAGGGAGGCCAGGACGCAAGAGAAACAGTGCGATGTGCTTGACGCGGGTCAACTCATGTTGTGCGATGCATTGCTGAAGATAACATCCGCGTTGTCCAAGAGCTGATCACGCGACACCCGTGGCAGCCCGACCCTTCCCCCCCCCCCCCCCCCACACCAACCCTTTCTAGCCCTATCCCGCTGAAAAACACCGTCCCCAAATCCCCTTCACCCCCGCCACGGGCATAAGGAATTCCCATGCACGCTATCTGTGCCGAATTTTCAGTCCCACCTCCTGTTGTACTCTCCTTCGCTGACAAGGCAGGCACAACCCTGGGCAGGAGATATGAAGTAGCCGTCCGTTGATCGGAGGAGGCCTACAGACTGCGATGTAGACGGTATCAGGGACATTGAACACGAGACCCCACTGGTCGTCCACTATAAAGGTCCGCACGGCGAGAACCGTCCGCATTGAAGCGACGATCATTAGCGTCTTGCTTTTTGCGATCGTTCTGCGGTGGACGTCGTGTGTTGTGGTGCGGGCAGGCGGTTGAGGCCGCATGTGCGTGGTGGGAGGAGCGTTGTTTTGTATTAGTGGCGTGTTGGACAGGGGTGCTCATAGCGGGGTTCAACTTCGTCTCCTTCGTGGATTGCGACGCACATGGAGATTGATGTGGCGTTGAGGGGGAGGGTCTTGGGTCGCTCCGTCGTCTTCTACGAGATGCGGCACTGGCGCGGGAATGACTATGGGAGGGACTTCGGTTTCGAGAACGGGGTCTCGAAACATGACGTTCGACATTACGAGATTGACGCGGATGGAGACACGTGCCTCCATCTGACAGTAGGGTTTGGATTTGGCAGAGGGTTTCTGCGGCAGTTGGTTGTTTTCGCTCAAAAGGTGGGCACAACCATCCCCGATCGTTGGTCAGCAGGTGTGGACGTGTTGGCAGAATTCATCGACCTACTCGTGTCCAACGTGGCGATGGGGTACACATGCCGCCTCCATGACCTGGCGTTGTACGTCGTCCAGGCTGAGCCGCCTTTAGCCAATCGCGAGTATCTGCACAGCAAAGTACGGGTCATTACGAATGACTTCTACTGAGCTCAGCGATGGCGACCGCGGCATGAACAAAGTCCATCTCTCTCTTCTTGTATAATTTTAATTAATAATATTAACCCAAATAAGATTGTATTCTATATGGATGTAAATTATTTGTATACAAGATATATGTGTATATATATATATTTTATATGTCTTTTGAATATTATGAATGAATAATTTCATTTAATTAATTGAATTGGGGAAGAGATCTAAGAAAGTGTTTGATAATAAGGCTATACTCAACATCGCCCACTTCGTGGAGAAAGGAAGGAGTCCACTATAATATAATGCTAGAAATCTAAGATCAATTTCTGAGAAGTTGCTTATAGAGTTTAGATAGTTGCACTTCGTGCCTAAAGAGAACCCAAAGGCAAACATGAAAAGAACTGCGGGAAAATCAATTTTCGCTTCGGGATTGGTTTTGGAGCTCCCACAGTAGTCTCTTGTGGACCCTCGGTCAACCACAATGAAGGGGAGCAAAGTGAGGGACATCCATCGATCTGGTTTTAATACCTCTTTTGCGACTCTTTTGTGTGCATTCACACATGCGGGAGATAAGCAGTGATGCAAGAGGGGGTAGAGAGAGAGAGAGAGA